TCTAGGAACTACTCCAATCTCCACGGTAAAGTGTGATAACATTAAGGTTAATAATGACATTAATAATCCTTTCATCCCAAATGGTTAGCATGGCAACAAAAGGCCACTGAGATTAGGGGAAATTTCTAGAGCGTCACTGATGCTGTGATGTCATTTCTCCCATTTTTCCCCTCCTCCTGCTGCTCAATTGATTAAGTGTGAGCAATTGTGGGCAGGGGTGGAAGTTTGTCAGCTACAGGGAGGCAAACAGTAAGCCTTTATCTTAGGCTCTCCTTTCAACTACAATCTGAATGTGAACTGAATCTACTTGAATAAATGTAAGGCCCCTGCCACATGGGGGGGGAATAGCACGGGCAAAGTGTGGCTTTCTAAAGCCGCAGCAAAAGAGAGACGCGGCGGCGGGATCACATAGATCCCCTGAGCCGCCGCGCACTTCCTCCCCGGCATGATCAGATGCCGGGGGGAAGCCACTGAAGAAAGAGCGCGACAGCCGAACTGCGCATGTGTGCGCATGCGCAGTTCGATGGGGAGCCTCGATTAATCCGGACTACGGGCATGGCAGCGATCCCACGGCCGTGCTTGCAGCGGTGCTTCAGATAAGTCCTCCTCTGTAGGAGGTTCTTTTTTGCAGCGGGTTTTCCGGGTTTAGGGACGGATCGGGGATGGGGACGCGCCGCTTCCCAGATGTTGTGGTGAGATCGCGCCCGTTTGCTGTGCCCCCGATCCGTCCCTCTCCCGGGCCAAAGTCTCCCGTGTGACCGGGGCCTAAGTTTACCTTTTTAAGGCAATATACTTTTTGGGAGACTTATTTACTGCACTCAGTATCATGCTTCTATGACTCTGCTACATTAACCAAATATCCCAATAGTTTCAACCTAATTTACTGTGAGCAAGAAGTTGAGTCTCGATGGCACACCTCTTGAGACATGTCAAACCTTGCAGCCTGGTGCTTCAGCTAACAAGATCCCCCTGGAAGGTCTTCCTCTGCCATCTCCCTGGAGCCTGTGCCCTGGGGCCACCCGCTGGAACATCCCCTGCTCCTTTACTACCCAGATCCTTCCATGCATCACTCCTGCAGCCCACTGAGCTTCCAACCGACGAAAAGCGTCTTTACGCTTTAGCTGTTCCGCAGTTAAGGCATTTCACATGTCGCCATACCATGGGAGAATTCCACCCGGCACATGTTGCATCTCTTCTGGTGGTGCTGTAGAACAGACCTTGAGAAAGGCTCCATCTTCCTTGAAGGAACCATTGTTCCCATTCGGAATCACAAGACGCCATGAACCTTCATACGGAGGAAGCTTCCACTAGAATGGCTGCTTTGTTCTGCTCTATGGTGTCGTTGTCAATCCAAACCTCACGTAAACCTGGAGGAAGGAGCAAATGGAGTCTCTCTGAGCCATCTGCTGTGTTCTCATTGCCGCCCCTTTCTTCCCCGTCTGACAGATCCCAGTCTTCACAAGAAGTACGTACTAGATTTGTGGGACAAGGACCTCCCAATCAGGTGAGTCCCAGGCACTTCATTTATGGCTTGCATTCCGCACGTTTCACTTGCTCTACTCCCAAATGTCTAACTGCTGGCCGTGCTGGTTGCAGATTCTCGATCATTGCCTTCATTGAAGGAAAGCCAACAGAGAGCTCAGCTGTCTTTCAGCCAGAACCAATCTTGCTCCTGCAATATGATTAATTTTGACCATAGCTGGAGATCTTCAAGATGACCAAATGTAAAGAAGGGTGGCGGCTACAAGCATGGACGGCTTCAAAAGGGAATTAGATAAGCATATAGAGCAGAGGTCCATCAGTGGCTATTAGCCACAAGGTATAGATAGGGGCTCTTGGGCAAGTGATGCTCTGTCTTCTTGGTGCTGGGGGGTTCAGCAGTGGGAAGGCTTCTAATGTCCTGGCCCCACTGGTGGACCTCCTGATGGCACTGGTATTTCTGGCCACTGTGTGACAGAGTGTTGGACTGGATGGGCCTTTGGCCTGATCCAACATTGGCGTCTCTTGTGTTCTTATGGGTAGGCCTCCTTTAGCTTTAGCAGACAAACAGAAGGCCCATTTTTGATCAATTCAGTTTGTCACTCCGGGATGAGAGAGGGGAGGGATTCTGAAACCACCTCTGCCTCAAAGACACAAGAGCCATTGTCTTCCTGGGCATCTGGTCTTCCGTCCATCTCCTGTTGAAACTGAGCAGCGGCATAGAAAATGGTGATCGTGCTATGGATATGACCCACCAAAGGTCAGGGTATGAACCACTTGTGGGACTTGACAGACCAGCTGAAAAACAACGGTGTGGGAGCTAGGGTATATTACTTGGACTAGATTGGGAATATGTGCATTAAAGTTCCTGCACAGCTATGGAGTTTTTCTGGGTGGCTTTCAGCAGGTCATCACCGAAGGCCATCACGGGTCCCCTCCACCCCCAATTCCTTCAGCATTTTCCTCTAGTCGCCCACTAGTGATGGTGGAAAGTGCCGTCAAGTCACAGCTGACTTATAGTGACCCTGTAGGGTTTTATTTATTTATTTGATTCTGTTTGTATCCCGCCTTCCCCGCAAGCAGGCTCAGGGCAGGTTGCATTATAACATTCACAATATACCCATATAACAAATCAACAATTCAAATATATCTAAAAACCTATATAAAAACAGCATTCAATAGAAGACCGGTGCCTCAACAGATCTCAGCAAGAAGCAGTTGGTTCCCAGATGGCCATTCGGACCTGAGGTTACCGGAGGCAAGGCCAATAGCAGGTGGGCGCCTGCTGCCTCAACTGAAAAGAAGGCAAGAGATGTTCAGAGGTGGCTTGCCATTGCCTGCCTCTGTGACATGACCCTGGGCTTCCTTGGTGGTCTCCCATCCAAATACTGGCCAGGGCTGACCCTGCTTAGCTTCCTAGATCTGATGAGATTGATCTAGCCTGGGCTATCCAGGTCAGGGTGTTATCACTCAGATCAAATCCAAAACCCCTATGAAAACTAACCCCATGAATGGCTGGGCCCTCAAGGTGCCATTGGTAGGTCTACCTAGGGATGCCAGCCTATAGGTGGGACCTGGGGATCCTCTGGAATTACAGCTCATCTCCAGACTACAGAGATGAGAACATAAGAGAAGCCATGTTGGATTAGGCCAATGGCCCATCCACGCCAAAACTCTGTCACACAGTGACCCAAACCCAGGTGCCAGCAGGAGGTCCACCAGTGGGGCCAGAATTCCAGAAGGCCTCCCACTCTTCCCCCCCCAAGCACTAAGAGCATCACTGCCCCAGAGATAGGGTGATTCTGCACTAGACCTTAAATCCTGGTTCCACCCTATCCCCAAACTTACATTCTACACTACACTCAAGTTCACCCCTGTAATTATCTCGGGGTATTTTTTGTTTCCACATTACATTGAGGTCACCCCGTTTTTTTCCCCACACTTGTCCCGGCATAAACGGATGCTGTTATAAACAGGGAAAAGTGCAAGGTATTGCGTTGTGAGTTGAACTCTGATAAAACCAGGGATGAGATCCAAGTGCAGAAAGGACCCTAATGTTCCACCTATACCTTGTGGCTAATAGACTGATGAACCTCTGTTCCATATGTTTCTCCAGTCCCTTCTTGAAGCTGTCTGTGCTTGTAGCCACCACCACTTCCTGCGGCATTGAATTCCATTAACTATGTCCTCCTTCTAGACCACCTGTGAGTTGGGGGAGAACAGGTGCTGCATTATGCTGGTCTTACTTCTTGAGAAGGTGCCAGAAAATGGTGTTGGGAAGCTATAGTTCCTCTCCACAGGTCTCATCCACTAGGTTGTTTTGTCTTCCATGCTGTTTAATATGTACAGGAAGCTGACAGGTACAATTGTTCTGGGGTATGGGGAGAATTCACCATGGTGTGTTGGTGACACTCAACTTTGTTTCCGATTTCTATCAGATGCAGGGGGGGCCTGAATGAATACTCGAGGCAACTGATGGGCTGGATGGAGGGGAACAAGCTAAAGCTCAGTCCACAATACAGATATTCAGGGCTATTTTTGGCCAGGAACGCACAGGAATGGAGTTCCGGCCGGCTCCCGAGTTGGCCACGCACAGCAGGAACTCATTAGCATAATAGGCCACACCCGACAGTAGAAACTCATTAGTATTGGCTACATTAGGGGTGTGAGGCCTAACATGCAAAGGAGTTCCTGCTACAAAAAAAAAGCCCTGGGTTTTGGCAACAAACAAGGTAAACAGAAGCAAAAGGTGGGTGTGGCTGGATGACCACACTTCTGGTAAAATGGGGGTGTGGCCTAATATGCTAATGAGCTGTGCTGTCAAGGGTGTGGCCTAATATGCTAATGAGTTCCTGCTGGGGTTTTTCTACCAAAAAAGCCCTGCAGATATTAATGGGGGGGGGTTTGCCCATTCCAGAAAAGGCTGCAATACCCTTTCTGGATAGCACATTTATGCTTAAGGATAAGATATATGGTATGGACATGTTCTTGGATCTGGTGCAGCCCCAGGATGCCCAGGTGGCAGCAATAAAAACGTCAGCTTAAAGCGATATAAGTGATAGCAATATAAAATACTTTTCAAACCTGGTTTCCCAGTTCCTAGTCCAACACTCTAACCTAGGGGTTCCCAATGTGGTACCTGTGGGTGTCCAGGTTCCCGCCAACACCTTTCCTGGGGGCCTGGCAGGTGTTTTTAGACAGTGGTTGGGGGCAGGTTATGCCCAGCAAGGATTCTGATTGGCCACTGGACATTTGATTGGCTGTGCAGATCTGTTAAAACGTTGCTTTGGCAGCAGCTGCCACCACGGCGCAAGGATTCTCGCTGTGTGACTGAAGGTAAGCTGCGGCGGCCATTTTGTGACTCGCTCCACCTCCAGCGGCAGCCATTTTCTGGCTGCGCCCACTACTCTCTCCCAGAACTCCAAAGGTGCCTGCGGGCTCGGAAATGCTGGGGACCACAACTCTAACCACTGCACCCCGACTTCTCTGTCTCTTCTTTTCACAGCTATAAAAAGGCCAATATGAACCAAACAGGCATCTCTGAATTTGTCCTTTTGGGTCTCTCCACCCAGCCTCAACACCAGAATCTCCTCTTCCTGCTTTTCCTCTCCTTCTACGTGTTGACTCTGCTAGGAAACCTTCTGATTGTCCTCCTGATCCGTTTGGACCATCACCTCCTTCGTACCCCGATGTACTTCTTCCTCAGTCACCTCTCCCTGGCTGACTTAGGTTTTGTTTCCAGCACTGTCCCCAAGATACTGGTGAACCTGGTGTCTCCCATCAAGGCCATCTCCTACAGCGGGTGCTTGACCCAGATGTATTTCTTCTTAACCTTTGGCAACACTGATAGCTTCCTCCTGGCTTGCATGGCTTACGACCGCTACGTGGCCATCTGTCGCCCACTGCACTATACCACTGTGATGAGCCACAAGTGCTGCCTTGTTCTGGCGTGCGGATCGTGGATCCTTTCTGCTCTTCACTCTTTGCTCTACACTCTTCTGACGTCCCGCCTTTCTTTCTGCTCCTCCTGGGAGATCCCCTATTTTTTCTGTGATGTCTACCCTCTCCTGGAACTCTCCTGCTCAAGCACCAGACTTATAAAGACCCTGGCACAGACGGAGGGTGTGGTGGACATTCTGGGACCCTTTGTCCTCATTATCATCTCCTACATGCGCATCTTCTGTGCCATCATGAAAGTACCATCTGCTGCTGGGAAGCGCAAGGCCTTCTCGACCTGTGGCTCTCATCTGACTGTTGTGGTCCTGTTCTATGGGACCATCAGCTGCCTCTATTTCCAGCCTACGTCTGCTTACTCAGCCCAGAAAGGCACCGTTACTTCTCTCTTGTACGCAGTGGTCATCCCTATGCTGAATCCATTCATTTACACCTTGAGGAACCATGACATAAAGGCAGCTATTGTGAGACTTTGGGAAAAGAGCAGACGTTTTCAGAGTAAATGACAACCTGGAAAAGAGAGAGTGATGTTTCCATGGACTACATATGCCTTCTTGGACCTACCAGCCAGGAATGCAGCATACAGATGCCAGAAAAATGTGGAACATAATTTGGAATGTAGAAGCTAGTAACTTTTCTGGAGGATATCTAGAACCAGAGCTCCCCTCCTCCTCCCTCTTCACAAGTTTCTGGTCCCTTTGGCAGATGCTCTGAGAATTACTGTTGCAATTTCTGTCTGATAGTGGCAGGGACCCAACCAATGCTCCCTCTAAGCTGTGGAGTCTTGTGTGCAAAAATTCTACTTTGTGAGCAACTGGCATTAAAGCTGTGAGCCAGCAATTTGGCTACTGCATAAATTAGTTTGATCTGGAGCCGTCCTTCCTGAGCTAAGACAAAAATCTGTGAGCTGGAGGCTAAGAAACTGTGAGCTAGCTCACACTAACTCAGCTTAGAGGGAACACTGGACCCAACCATCCTCAAATACCCTTCTTCCAGCCTAAGGAGGCTTCCTCCAACGTAAATAGCTCGCCTTCCAACAGAACAGCCACTAATGTTGGAGAAAGTCTCCTTAGGTTAAGAACATAAGAAGAGCCGTGCTGGATCAGACCAATGGTCAATTCAGTCCAACATTGCGTCTCACACAGTGGCCAACCAGTTCCTCTGGAGGACCAACAACAGGTATAGAGGTCGAGGCCTTCCCAGATGTTGCCGCTTGGCTCTGGGAATCAGAGGTTTAGTGCCTCTCAGTAACCACAGCTAGTAGCCATTGATAGACTTAACCTCCATGAATCTATCTAATTGCCTTTCAAAGCTGTTTATTCCTCTGGCCATCACTACATCCTCTGGCAGCAAATTCCACATTTTAATCACTCTCTGTGTAAAGTAGTATTTCTTGTCCTTCCTGAACCTACTTCCCCACAATTCCTTTGGATGCCCTCAAGTTCTAGTATTTTGGGAGGGGGGGAATTCTCTTTGTCAACTCTCTCTACCCCAGGCATAATTTTAGAAACCTCTATTATCTCTCCCCCCCCCCCATTCGTCTCTTTTCTAAACTGAAAAGTTTCCAACCCTTCAGCATTTCCTCAGGGAAGGTGTTCCATTTTGGTTGCCCAGTTGGAGGAAGGCTTCAAATCTGAGGCCAAAGGAAAGGTGGGGTAGAAATATTTTAATAAACATATGAGGAGACTTTTATCGGGATGGTAGGATAGGGGTAGGATTCACCGCACTCTGAGTAAGAAGAAGAAGAAGTTGGATTGATACCTCGCCCTTCACTACCCAAAGGTGTTTCAGAGCAGCTTACAAACTCCTTTCCCTTCCCCTCCCCACCACAGACACCCTGTGAGGTAGGTGGGGCTGAGAGAGCTTGTGACGTCCTTCTTATCGGGGAGGACTAGTTTCACTTTAAAAGTGTTCTGTATTTTGTTTAACTGGGTAGAATCTGCTGCCACTAGGAAATTTTAAGGATTTCCAAACCTTTATGCTTTTACTTTTGCTTACTGGTTTGGTAGACCGAGTTCAAGGCTCACGAGGAACTATGTGGTCCTGGGAAGTATGTCATTCAGAGCTGGTATAAACTTTGATAAAAGAGGATTTATTGAAACAAATACTAAATAAGAGGGTGGTACAATGTAACTAGTAATGTGTAAATGATGAACAATTGCTTTGGTATCACACACAATCTTCTCCCTCACTGTCAGGGATCTTTTCATGTAACTTTGTAACACTTGTTTATCTCAATGCCATATGTGTTCACTGTTTCTCTCCCGTTTGTTATGACCCTCAGACTTTCCTTTAACTGTTGGTCACTTAAACTTTACTTTACTGTTTCCTATACATTCAACTTTCAGCTTTCTCTCTCTGTCTCACTGAACAACCGCAGCTGTCAGTTTATAACTGCTTCCACACAGAACTGCTTGTCTAACTAACTAACTGAACATCAACTGTCAACATCTAACTGAAACTACTGACTCACATACTCATCCAACCAGATTCACTTCCAAAGCTCCTCCCCCTCTCTGTCAACCACCAATCATACCACACTTGCCTCTCTCAACCACTCTAGTCTATCTACCACAGCCATGCAACCAAACTTTTAAAGACACATGCACAGAGAGAGAAACAAGGAATTGTTACAGAGCTCTTGACAGGAACTGCTCTTTTTCAAGGACAGCTCTTATCAGAACCACGGCTTGCCCAAGATCATCCAGCCAGGTGCAAGTGGAGGAGTGGGGAAATCAAACCCGGTTCTCCCAGATTAGAGTCCGCGCAGTAAGGGGAATTTCCCTGCCCTGGATGGCCCAGGCCAGCCCAGTCTCATCAGATCTCAGAAGTTAAGGAGGGTTGGCGCTAGTTAGTACTCAGATGGGAGACTACTAACTAAGGAAGTCCAGGGTTGCTACACAGAGGCTGGCATTGGCAGTCCGCCTCCTTTTGTCTCTTCTCTGACCTCTCTGGCCCAGGCTAGCCTGATCTCGTCAGATCTCGGAAGCTAAGCAGGGCCGGCCCTGGCAAGTATTTGGGTGGGAGGCCACGAAAGAAGTCCGGGGTTGCTATGAAGAGGCAGGCAAGGGCAAAACCACTTCTGTTCACCTTTGCCTTAAAAACAGTCCAGTGGGTTAGCTATGACTTGAAAGCACTTTCCACTTCCCTCACAATGGCCGGTGGGGACTAAGTGATGGAGAGACCTACCATTCAGGTTGAGACCAAGTGAGAGGGATGCGGCCACCCTCTAAATACCCTTCCTCCAGCCTACAGAGCCTTCCTTCGACTCAGTGGCTCTTCCTCCAATGGATGGGCCACTTACTTGGGAGGAAGTCTCCTTAGATTGGAGGAAGGATTCAGACTTGAGCCAAAAGGAGGGTGGTGTAGAAATATTTCAGTCAATCAATCAATCAATCAATCAATCAATCAATCTGCTCAGTGGAGTGGCAGGATAGGGGTAGGATGCACCCAATTGTCTTCAAGTGCCCACAGATGAACAGATTTGATTTAATGTATAATTCATATGTTTTATTTGCAAATATACTGGATGATCAGAGAGAAGCAGCCAACAGACAGACAAGGCTAGTCCTTAACAGCAGATCTGTCCTGAGAAGAACTTTTGCTTCTTCTTCTGATGTTTCTTTGGGCCCTTCAGAGTAAAGACAGACATTGCATTTGTATGGCAACAGCATTGTTTTGGAAATAGTTTCCTTTCATTCAATCTGAATGCCCTTTTTTCCTTTCCAGGTCTGAACTCTGACACAAACAAAAAAGTTCTGCATGTATGCAGCAAAAGTTGGCTGTGTACAGCCCTGATTGGCTGGCATCTGTGCTGTCACCAATACACACACATACAACTCCAAGCAAATATTTCAAATATTTCTTCTTTTTTTAAAAAAGACAAAACAAACAGCTAAATGGACACAGATTTTTTTAAAAGGACCGTCGGCCTAAAACATAGCAATGTCTGCACCGTTATTCACTTCACTAGTTTGTAAGTCTGCTGCCTACATTTCAAAGTGATGGCGCTGGCAGTGTGGGTAACTTTTCACTAGCAGGAGCTAGAAAGCGCATGCATATTACTCCCATTCTGCAAACCCTCCATATGGTTGCCCATTTGTTACCGAGCTCTGTTTAAGGTATTGGTTATCACATATAAAGCCATTCAGTTTGGTGTAGTGGTTAGGAGCATGGATTCTGATGTGGGAGAACCGGCTTTGATTCCCCACTCCTCCATATGCAGCTGCTGGTGTGACTTTGTGTCAATCACAAGTTCTCTCAGAGCTGATCTCTCAAGAGCAGTTCTCAAAGAGCTCTCTCAGCCCCACCTACCTCACAGGGTCTGTTGTGGGGAGGGGAAGGGAAAGGGATTGTAAGCCACTCTGAAGCTGCAGTCGCACACACCAAATAATTCACTTTCAATCCACTTTGAATGCACTTTTGAATTGGATTTTGCCTGTTCACACAGTAAAAATCCAGTTGGAAAGTGCATGAAAGTGGATTATTTAGTGTGTGAGACTGCAACCTGAGACTCCTTCAGGTAGAAGAAGAAGAAGAGATTGGATTTATACCCTGCCCTTCACTACCCAAAGGTGTCTAAGAGCGGCTTACAAACTCCTTCCCCTTCCCCTCCCCACAACAGACACCCTGTGAGGTAGGTGGGGCTCAGAGAACTCTTGACAGAAACTGCTCTTTTTCAAGAACAGCTGTGCCAGAGTTATGGCTTGCCCAAGGTCATCCAGCCAGGTGCAAGTGGAGGAGTGGGGAATCAAACCCGGTTCTCCCAGATTAGAGTCTGCGCACTTAACCACTACACCAAACTGGCTCCTTGAGGAAGGTAGTGAAGAGCTGGGTATAAATCCAGTCTCCTCCTCCTCCTCCTCCTCCTCTTATCTACAGGACCGCCTATCTCTCTATGCTCCGGCACAACAACTCCGCTCACGTCTGCAGGGGTTTCCTGCAAGGACTAACCTGCAAATGGGCAAAATCAACAACCGCCCGTCCACGTGCCTTCTCCATTGTGACCCCCGCCTTGTGGAACAGTCAGCCTGCAGAGGTCAGGAAGTCTCCCACTGTCCTGGCTTTCTGCAAACAATGCAAAACTGATCTATCCAAGAGGGCTTTTCCCACACAGGTGATAAGGCTGCACAGCACAAAAATGGTCTTTCCTGCTATATACAGTACGTTGCAGTTGTGGTTCAGTCGCACAGTCGAGTCTGACTCTTCGCGACCCCACGGACCACATCACGCCAGGCCCTCCTGGTACATTGCAGACAGGATCCGATTTACAAAGTTTGTGTCCAGTGGCACCTTTAAGACCAACAAAGTTTTACTCAAGGTATAAGCTTTTGGGTGCACACGGGAGCTCATACCTTGAATAAAATGCTGTTAGTGTTAAGGGTGCCGCTGGATCCAAACTTTGTTCTGCTGCTTCAGACCAACACGGCGACCCCACCTGAATCTTAGGGTCCTTTTGCATAATATCTGTAACACTTAATATGTTATATTAACAGATATATACTAA